CAAATCATCTACAATAACTTGTGACCGTTAATTACTCAGTAGGCTATTTTAGGCTGCTGTTATGCATTCAGAATATTATTGTAAGGGCAATATTCTTCATTTTTCATAGGTTTGAGTCCCATCTTTGATAGTTATTAGTTGTGTGACCATAGGCAACCTATTTAGACTTTCTGAGCCTCATTTTTCTGAGCTCTAAAATAATACCATCAGTACCTATCTCACAATGTGGGAATATGAACCTCAAATGTGATAAGGCATGTAAAATTAAAAAGAGCTATCTACATACATGTCATTTATCATTATTATTCAATTATGGTTTCCTAAAGCATTACTGCAGAAGTTATTATGGTGCCTATTGTTTTGGCTATTAACATAATTTAATTCAAAATCATTTATGAAGTACCCTTGCATGTACTGCATGACACACTTTTGGGGCAAACTTCAGGACACCTCTCACTTAAGAGCTGGGCATTCTGTTGACCCTTTCTCCTCTTCCTGTCATTCTTCCATTCCTCCTGTTATTCTCCATTCATTCTCTTTTCTTTCTGTCATTCAAGGCCCAGTTCATGTGACAGCTCCTTCATGAAGCTGCCTCTATCAGAATGTACTTATAACCATCTTTGGAACCTTCCCTCACTGAAAATCTTGTCTGCCTCAAATTTTTCATAGTCCCTTCTTCTCTTTTGTACTTATCTCACTTCCCCTTGTATCATAGTTAGGTGGAATCTGGATAGAGTGCTGGGCCTAGAATTAAGAGGTTTTGAGTTCAAATCTGGCCTTAGACGCTTACTAGACATGTGACCCTGGGCAAGTCACTTAATCTCTGCCCCAGTTTCAACTATAAAATGGGGATACTAGAGTGGTTTGTCGTTTCCTTCTCTAGTTCATTTTACAGATGAGGAAACTGAAGAAAACAGGGTCAAGTGACTTGCCCAGGGTCACACATCTAGTAAGTGTCTGAGGTCAGATTTGAACAAGGCTTCTTAATCCTAGGTCTAGCTACTAAAGCATAATCAGACTGGCTTAAGTATGATTTATGTTTGTTTTCTCTGACTGGGCTCTGATGGTGGTTCTAATGGATAGGGAGATGCCCAAAAGATAGGGAGGAGTGCAGAGGTGGGGAAACTAAGGGCTTCATAACTAGTAATGGGATACTTGAGAGGAGTCTGTACTCAGCATCATTCTGAGATAGCCACTGTCATCTAGCGACAACCTCTGTAGCCTGACACTCATTATAAGGAAGAAATGAGATAATATTTATAAAGCACAGTGCCTGGCATGTAATAGGTAGAACAGAAATACTAACTATTATTATTGCTATTAGTATTAATGTGTAGGATTTATCTTCACTATTAAGTGGAAAGCTCCTTGAGGGTAGAGAGTAAGTGAATCACCTTTGTATTTCTAGCGATAAATATACATTTCTTGAATTGACTTGCAACAGTTAGCCTGGGTATGTCAGCACCATATATTCTAACTATCTAGAAATCTGTGGATTATATTTTTTAAACCTTCTATTTTTGAGTAAATAAAAACAATGAATGGAAATCTATTTTCTCTCTCTCCTACTTCTATCCCCCTCCTCAGTTTGTTGATCATGTAAGAAATGGAGATTCCCTTCAAGGACCCCTTTTCTTGGCAAAGTCCCACATCTATCTATCTCCCAGAGGAAGTGTCATACCCTGTAATCTCATCTAGTGGACTGGAGAACAGATCAGATGGATAAGAGGTTGTCCTAATTAAATTCTGATTACATTTCATTTTCCTATACTATGCCTTTCCTGTTGTCTTGTCACTTTATTTCTGCAGTTGAAGAAATAGAAGTTCCCCATTAAGAATTCCCACCACCATTCCTAGCAGCAGATCCTTCATTAGTTAAGAGCCTTGTAACCTTGGGCAAACAATTTATCCTCTTTGGGTCTCACTGTCCTGATCAATAACGCGAAAGGGTGGGACTAAATGATCTCTAAAGTACTTTAAGGATCCCTAATTTCATATTTACTGCATCTGTGTAGATTACAACCTCTTTGTTTTTGCCTTAATGCATGGCCCTTATGAATTGTTTTAGCTGAAGAAAAAAATGTGTCACCTGGTGGCCAGTCTTCTGGTGATGAGATAGGCTGGACCTTGGACAATCAACAGATATATGAACCATTGTCGGATTCATCCTTGAAGCCCTTAGAGATGAGCAAAATTAGGTAAAGCTTGAGTTTTGCTGCCCTGTCCTTTATTGAATACCCCAATGATGGGTTGAACTTTTTTTGTCCCTGTTTTTATATATAGTAGAAAATAATTGAAACTATGATAACTGAATAATTTTAAGGTGAATATTTAAGGATGCTTTCCTTTCAAGGAGCTCAAATCACTACATATACACTCCCTCACTGACTCTCAAAATAGTCTTGTGAGGTATTTTGGGGGTACCCAGTGGAGATAATAATCTTGTCTGTTCCATCCAGACTCTGCAGCAATTTTTGGGATCCTAATTGCATAGCAGCTGCATCTACCTGGAGGACTTTCATTTCTTTTCTTTGAAAATTGCAGGTCCAGAGGGAGAATAGAAGTAGATTCTAAGGAAATAAATATCTTACCTTCAACTATTATGAAATCAGAAAAAATAAAGAACCCATCATTATGATAATGAAATAGCCCATGGGCAGAATATCTAGGTGCCACATGATAGCCTGAGATGAGCTTTATTATATATTGCATTGAAATCCTTTCTTTTTTATGGAAGTTTACTCTAAGAACTAAAAACTTGTCCTGGATTAACAGTTGAATTGATGAATGTGGACACATTTAGAATCACTTTAAAACTTTGTAATATCACTGAAAATACAAACAGAACTGGAAATAGAGGCCAGAGATACTATGTGATCAGAAAGAAACCAGGTCTCAGTGAAAGCCAGAAGATGGAAGGAATGAAAGGGAAAAGATTTAATACTGAGGCCTTCATTAATTAATAGAGCAGGCATTCCAAGGGTGGATTGTTGGGTAGATCTGGAGTGGAATATTGGGGTGGGGTTGGTTAAGGCTGAGGGGGATGGGAGTAAAGGAGAAGACAGTTGTGGATAGCGACTTTTTCAAACAGAAGTGGCAAATCACTCATCAGATATGTTATTGTGGGGATTCTTTTTTCAGGGATGGATTGGACTAGATGACTGCTGGAGTCCATTCCAACTTTCATATTAAAATTAGATTCTGAGACATGTATTTATGTAGCCAGGGGTTCATAATTACTGGGTTGGAGATAGTGTGAAGGGAAAGGCATATGTTCTTCATTGAAGAATGAATCCAGGCAGGGTATCATTCACTGGGTGGGGGGGGGAGTCTAATTGAGGGAGGCAGTTGATTAGGCTGTTGAGGTTCCCCTCAAGGTCCAGTCTGGTAGCAGATAGTCACTTTCATTTGTAAAAAGATTTAGGGAAGGTTCTGGCATCAAGATCTTCCAGGTCCTCCTGAACTTTTCCATGTTCTAGAAGAAGGAAGTTGACTCATTCTTGTCTTTCGTCATACCAATGGACCCAGTCACAGGTGTGTTTGGGTAGCTGCTGTAAATGCCTGGTTTCATTTGATTTTCTTCTTTGTCTATCTAGAGATAATAGCTTGGGCTGGAGGTGTCATGTGATTTAAAAACCTGAACCATTCAAAAGCTGAATTTTTAGGGCTAACTTGTGAATTACTCTTCACCCTTTGAATACCTTTTCTTAAAAAAACAAAATAAAACGAACAAAAAAACCTCCTGTCAGTAGACAATGAGAAATAGTTTCCTTATTTCTTCCTTCTATGTATCTTAAGAAAAGATGGAGAGCATCTCTTACCCCCTTCCCTTGTTCTCTTGAAACTGGGTTTATACTGAACTTCAGAGGAAAATATTGTCCTTGAGCTGGTGGTAAATGAAGCTTATGGCTTCAACCCTTCCCAGTGTGGATTGGATTTTGTAAGAAAAAACAGAAAGGAGATCTAGTGCCTGCTTCAAGTTTGGTGCCAGAGCAAAGGGATCACATGGAGAATCACTTCATTAGTATATACACTGGATGAGGTCTGCTCCACCCAATCTTCTAAAGCAGAGATTCTTAATTTTTTTTTGCTTCTTTTTAAAATTAAGACTGCTCTTTGGTGGTCTGGTGAACCTGAAGGATCCCTTCTCAGAATAATACTTTTAATATATGCAGAGCATAGTATTACAAAGGAAAGTAATTATACTAAAATACAGTTATCAAAATATAAAAAAGGACCTTGTGTTAAGAATCTCTATTCTAAGTATTTATGAAAAATTGGTCCCATGCTTGTCTCAGAGGACTTGGCTTTCTATTTGTCCTCCATAATGGCTTAATGTAGCAGATGGAGAGCCAGCTTTAGTGTCAAAAGACAGAGGTTCAAGTTTTTCATCTGACATATGGCTGTGTGGCCCTGGGCAAGTCACTTAATCTTTCAATGTCCCATAAGACTATATAGCCATTGGGTTTTAGGTTTAGGTTTGGAAGGGATCTTGGGGCCATCAAATCCAATCACCTAATTTTAAATATGATGTAACTGAGGTTCAAGGAGTCAAGTGACCTGTCCAAGGTTCAATAGATAGGAAATATCAGAGTTGGGATTGGAACCTAAGTGCTGTGACTCCAGATGGGCAGAGCAGTATGTTCCATCATACTATGTTACAGAGCAGGTTTCGGCCTACATAGGTAGAAGGAATTTCCTCATCGGGAGTTACTTATATTAATGATATCATAAATCTAGTATGAAAAAAAAATAGCTAGAGAACTAAACCACGTTCTCCCAGACCCGGTTCTGGCTTTCTTGGGTAAACATATTGCTTTGTTTCACTTCCTGAGAAGGATATTTGGAATACAACTTAACCAATGCAAAACTATATGAAACCAATGAAGCAGCTGCTTTTGTTCCCTAGGTAGGCAGCTTTTGTCAGCATCAGAAAGCCAAGGAAATATTCCCATGATGCTTTTCAAGAAACAGTTGGCAATACTGGAGAGTTTCAGTACCTGACTTTTTGACAGGAGCCTGGAGCTTGTCACCATCATGCTGGGGTCTGGTGGTCTTCTGCTGAAACACTGAAAAACATACAGAATCCATTACTCACCCAGCCCAAACATCTCAGCCCTACTGTAGACATCTCAGTGCAGCTAGATTGCTATACATCATTTTCTCTAATGACAATTCTTGACATGTTCTTTTTTCCTGAGTAGGAGGACTATTAAGTTCTCAATTTTGTCATTTGTGCCACTGATTACTCATGTCAGATGGATCTTTCTTTGTCTAGAGCAGCATCTTGCTGATGCCAGGCCTCACTGATTTATGGAAATCATGATATTTTATTTCGTTAACAGGTAAAGAAAACCCCAGAACCTTAAAAATGCCAAATCCAGTACTTAGGTAACATTAAAAATTTGCATAGAAATGATTCATGCTTTTTTTCCCCTGTGCTCAGCAAGACTGTTTTTCCTTAAGTAAAGCAAATGATGCATTTCATAGATGGAACAATGGAAACAATCTTTAAATATTTTTAGGGTTGTAAATTTTATTTGTATTAAGAACTTAATCATCGATGCACATAAACATTTCAATATTTGAAGAACAAGAAAGTATTGTATAAGAAACTGTGAGCATCTTAAAGGAAGACTTCTTAGTGTATGTGAGGGGTGATAGGTTGGTAGTGATAAATGCAAAAAGAGAGCATATATAAAACAAAAAAATTCACAAAAGAAAAAGAGGTAGAAAAGGATACACAAATATAATCTTATTTGATGTCTAGTACCTGCTATTAAATTGGTGTTCTGATTAATTTTGGTGTGGGGGAGGGTAGGTGGGAACAACCAGACATTTGATTTCACAGAATCTCAGAATGTGAGAGTTGGAAGACAGCCATCAGCCATCCAGTCCAACCCATAATTGAAAAAAGAAATACCCACTCCCATTCCTATTTTGCCTTTTTGGGAACAAACAGAACAAATCAGCTCATATCTTTCACATGACAATCTTTCAAATATTGAAGGCAGTTGTCATGTCAACCTTTGCTGCCCTCAACTTCCTTCTAGGGAAATGCCCTTTAACATGGAAGTTCGTGCTCATTTCTTTTAACTGATAGGGTCGTATGATGAAAAAAAAGTTTGTAGATGACTAGTGTAGGTAATTCTTGATATAGGCACTCCCTCTAACAATGCAGGTCAGAACCTGGTCCATATCTTAAAATCATCAAGAGTTGCCTGAAGCATGAAAAGTGACTCAACTTGATCTTGGATACAGAATCGGTATATGGCAAAGGCTGGACTTGATCCTAGGTTTTCCTGATTCTGAGGATAGCTCTCTATATTATGCCACGCTGCCTTGGCTAGAATAAATACCAAATAATCTTGCTTTGTTCTCATTAGTTATTTCTCACATCAGACTGCTAGGCAGGGAGAGGTAACCCTTCTCATCTCCTTTTATAGATGGAGAAACAGCCATGCTAAATGTCAAATGAAAACTCATGAAATTTTGTAAAGGTTCTACCTTTGGGGATTTGCATCATAATGTAGTCTGTGTATGCTCTGAGGTTCCTTATTCCAACTTCCACTCTCCCCATTTAGTTGGGTCCATTGACTTCTCCCCTTCAGGACTCAAAGGGTACCCTCGATGGGTCAGGAGTGATTTTCCAATTCCAATGACTTGAGACCTCACTGGTGTGCCTTCCCCTGAAGATTTATCAGTTGAGAACCATTTAGTCAGCCAACTTTTTGTAGTTTTTTAGAAAGGGGGTACAATAAGAACAGTTGGTACAAAATGTCTGCCCCAGATGTTTGTGCCCATTTTCCCCAAAATACAGAGTCAAGGGGAAACTGGGCTCAAGAGCAAACGGGCTTCTGGTTTTTGGAAGTCCTTTTCTCCTTTTTGTGGGATAACTACAGTTTCCTTTAAGCATGGTGAATCTCTGTCCATATCCTTGTGCAGACACTATCATCAGCTAATCCAAAGACACTTTTTAGGACACCCAGGTGAATCTACCAGACCCTAAGAAGCTAGAAGTGCCCCTTGTAGTGATAGGTGTTGGAGAGGAGACCTAGCCAAGGCTAAGGCTGAGGCCTTTATCTTCCCTCCCTGAAATGTTTTTTTTTTCCCCTTAAGAATCTGCTAATAAAGCCATACTTTTATTCAAACTTCTGGAAAAAAAAACTCCCATTCGAGCTAATTTGATGTTCCTATACAGAACCCAGAGGGTATAACGGAATACCACAATTAACTGGAGCAGATCTCTCGTCTGGCATCCCATCACTTCATAAAATGGCTTGCAAAGTTGATTGTAAAATGAAGGTGTTGAACTAGATAACCTCTGGAGTTCCTTGCATCTCTTAATTTATGATCCTATATGCTTAGCAAAAGTACCAGAAAGACAGTGTAGTATAGATGAATAAAGGTAGCCTTAGGATCAGGAAAACCTGAGTTCGGATTCTGCCTCTGATATATATTAACTCTATGACCCTAAGCAAGTCATTCAGCTTCTCAATGATCCTAAGGGTAAACTTGATTTAATCCTTTAGGGAGGATGGACTGGTCTGGAGGGACAATCCATGCTTGCCTGGCTGAAGCTACTTGGTTTCTGGGGTGGAGGACCTCGTGTCAGAGTCTCCTTCAAGATCTGGAAACATAGGTCTGTTCTCTCCAAAATCTTTCCCCAAAGTTGATCTCTAATCTTTAACCTTATCATCCGCTACAGTGACTACCAGCCATGGCACATTTGGTTTGTTCTTAGCTAGTATTTTCCTGTACCTTCCTTCCTCTCTTACTTGTCTCCCATTGCATCTGGGGCCATTTCCAGTCATCCTGATCTATATCTTGCCAATGGACCCAGATGTGACTTTGCTCAGCCCTCTGTCACTTAAATCCAATTCATTTGCATGTCATGGTATCATCTTCCTGATGTTATGGTCTTCTTTGAGAATGAAAGACAAACAACAACAACCCCAGACAACCATCTAGGATGGGTTGCTAATCTGCATCATTGCCGTGAATCCCCATGTTGGGAGTTCTCTATACCAATGAAATCATAGATCCGGACAAAGTCAAGAGCATGTAAGTCACATTCCGAATGACAAAAGATGTATTAAATACTATTGAAAAGAGAATGTCAAGGAAAACAATGGGTGTGTCAAATACACAGTTTTGAAAAGGAGGAACAATTAATATAATTTTCTTAAAATATGAAAGTTCCAAAGAAAATCTGTGCATATCTGGTAAAGTTTATTGACGGAAGGCAGCTTGATATCTCAAACTGATATGTGCAAAAAGAGCCAAAGATAATTTTCTCATAAAATAATGGGTGTGTGTGGTTTAATATTTTGCTAAAAGAGTATATTGTCTATGGTTCTACTGACTAATGAGTAATTAGAAGAACTGGAGATTTAAAGGTTTTTTTTCTTTTTTGGGGGGCCCTTCAAAATATTTTTTAAAAAACAAAATACTTTTAATATTTTAATAACATATTGAGTCTTCATTCTTTGCCAACATTGTTAAGATAATGGCTGGGAGTGCTTGGTATTAAAAACCAGCTGACATCATCAATTCAGGAAATAACATGAATCCAAAGTAGAGATTTAGTCAATAAAGCCTCTAATTGAAACGGGTAATAATTGATAAGTTTGGAAGATTCTGCTGAGTTTTGCAACCACTAATTAATCAGAAATGGATCTGATCTTCTGTCTGTTTAGAGTCAATTTGTTAAAACCACTTCGCACCTTGAATTTTGCTGAAGTACCTTTAATTGACATCAAACACTCAGCATGAGTGAAATACAGTAAATGCACATGAACTCCTCAATTTATAGAATGAATGGGTACATATGTGTTCTCTGATGGTAAGATCTGTTAGGTAATGGTATGCCTGCTTGGAGCAACCTTGCCAGGGAAAGGTAGGAGGGGCATGGGGGTGTAGCTTATAAATTCATCTTGCTGCCTGAAGTGCTGAGATGTGGGCACACACACACTGTGACATAACATCCAGTTGTCAATACTGATTCTTGGCTTCCCAGAGGGTTATTGATGTGGCTTGGTTTAGAATGGGGGAATGGGAACTTCCAGACAAACATTCTATCTGCACTACCTTCAATTCTGGAGTCTCATCTCCTACATGACCTTGATACACTAGACCACTGGGTTGAAGCTAGTATAATGAAATGCATTTATTGGTTTTTGAAAGATTTGTTTTTGCTTTTTATTTTTATGTCATTTCCCCTTACCTCCCTGATTGTACTGAACACTCCTATTTTTTTTTAGAGGGAAACATGGAAGTACAAATAACAGGTAAGTGATTATGTCTGACAGTCTAGACCATATTCTAGATTTGTAGTTCCAGACCCTTCACCGAGAAGAGGGAGGTGTGTTTCATTATTTCTTTGAGACTGAGATTAGTTAGCATCATTAATTGATTTAACTTCTAAACTTTTAGTGCTCCTTTTGTTTACATTATTACAACAATTGTATTAGCATCCTCTTTTTATGCTTATATTCTCTTTATCAATTTATACGTCTCCTCAAGTTCTTGAAATTCCTCAATTCATCCATTCTTACGGTGCAATGAGATTCCATTATATTCTTACACCACAATTTGTTCAACCTCTTTGTTCTAGTTTTTTTTTTGCTATCATTAAAATGCTTTTTAGAAATATTTTGGATTAATGGGACTTCCTCCTTTGTATTTGAACTTCTTGGGGTATATGTCCAGCATTGATATCATTGAGGGAAAAGATATTCAATAGTTCAGTGAATTTTCTTTCTTTTCCTTCTTTTCCTTCCTTCCTTCCTTCCTTCCTTCCTTCCTTCTTTCCTTCCTTCCTTCCTTCCTTCCTTCCTTCCTTCCTTCCTTCCTTC